GCCTAATTCAGTTATTTTCTTTAGCTATATGATTTAAATATGTTGCTTTTAAAAAAACAACTGTATAATAACATGACATTCCTCTGTTTACCTCACCAATTGTTTTAGAAATTTATTTGGTTAGAAAAATCAAAATTTGTTCTTTCTCACGGAAATTTCAGGAATTAAGTAATTACTCATTATAGTTCTACCTTCTATTTTGAACGAACAATAAAAGCTCACAGCTCACAATTTGTGAAAGAGTTAGTCAGTAATGATGATATCCTTTGTCTGCACACTATTCCTCATCGAAGACTGAAAGCAAAATACACTATATCACATAGACATACAACTAAATACAAAACTTCAGTCTTATTTAGGTCGTATATTATATATAGAAATGCATTTTACAAACAATCTTATCCACTAACTTTTTAATAGTGAACAGTTATAATAAATCTACGGTCGATGCGTATTCAAGCAGTCCTGTTACTATGTTGTTATTTGTAGGAATGAACATAGGTCCTGGATACCACAGCTATCCACTTGTCATCATTAATATAAAAAGGCTGTTATTCATTATAATCTATTGTAGACCATTGTCACTATAAATATAATTGAAAAAAGGTGTACGAGAAGTAAATATCTGCAACATAAGCTGTTGGCGATTCTGTAACTTAAACAACATTATGGGTGGGAATAAAGAAAACACATTATTATTAAATCACTCATGTTTATTTATATGAATCCTAGTAAAGAATTGACTGCAAAATTTCACAAATATTGTGCTTCTGAAAAGGCATTCTAAGGCATAACCTCGAAGTGCATTCATCAATTATATTTTCTGCTTATATTTTACAATAACACAAGTGAGAAAAATTCATGATTATTTAAGGTGTAGCTAATCTGCACAGATGACTAATTTCAATGACATGTACACAAGATGTTTTCCTCCAGAAGTGAGAATCATCTATACACATTTAACCATAAATTATGGATGTGTATTTTGTGAACAACTATTTTTTATAAGGTACTCATAAGCCACTATATTTCTTTTCTACAGCATGATACTGTACAATATGAAGGAATTTTAGAAGTTCTTGTGAATAATTCACTACGTAATCCTAGTAGAGATAAAGTTATCCCCCTTAAATGTATATCCAGGATTCCTAACCGACCAATGATTTCAGCAAGCAGGTAAGCGTTTTTTATTATTTACCTTAATATTTTTCATTGCTTGACTTTCTTATATGTAAAATGGCTGCTTGTTCAAAGCATATTCTTTCAAACCAAAGCGCCAGAGGCTTATTGTATACATGCTAATAGCATATACCTATGCACCATTTATACGAAGGTTAATATTTTGCTTCTCCTGACGTATTAAGTACTTTTGATTTGAAAGTTACAAAAGACACCAGCGAACTAAGTTGTTTGTAACCCTAACCGTATATTGCATAAAGCAAAAAATAATTAACACCAACTGATACATTATATATATATATATATATATATATATATATATGTATATATATATATGTATATTTCAGAATCAAGTCCAATAAGGATCTGGTTGTCAGCGGCGGTGATCTACTTCAGTCATTATAATTTTTTCAAATATGCTCAGCTGATTTAAGAAATGCATATAGCGACTCAAGACACTAAAGTTTGAAAGTGGAGACAATGTAAAGCGACTCTGATATTGCAGACACAATATTATTGATACGTCCCGGTTTCTGCGTACTGTGATCAATACAGTAAAAATTGTTGGGTATATTAGACTTACAACTATTATCATAACACGTTTGCGATGAAAACAGTTTAATTCCAAATTAGTGTCTGATGAATTGAGAATAGGTTAGGTCTCGTTCCAAACTGCACATCGGGGCCTTCAATGTCGATACCCTCCATCAAATTGGTCAATAGATTTCATTAGCCAAGACTGTAGCAACCTCAGGCCTTGGATGTGTGCTGTGTTTGTGAGACAGGCATGTAAGAACCAAGTGCGGTTATTCACCTGACTTCTCCCGGCCAATCTAGTGAATCCGCAGAATTCACTCTCCGAGTTTCTGGAAATTCGAAGGCTAGCTTTCGCGATCTTGCAGTTGTAGGCATAGTGTTAAGCTCTAGGGCAGAAAGCTTACCACTAGACTGTATGTTAGTTGACAGTAGCTTATGCCCTTTCTGTCTGAACGGGACACTGAGAACTGAAAGGGAAAGTAAACTCACCATTTTCTCTTTGTAATCTCTGCTTATGCATCCACTGACTGCCATTCGAATTAAGTTAAGGACGAGTTCAACAACAAACTGCCCAACCTCATTCGAAAGCCAACGTTCGGCCTTGGTGGTTGTAGCACGTCATTTCAATGGCCAAATAGATGGACTGAGTGAGGCAGAAAAGGACTAAGGTGGCACTTTCGGAATCCCGGCTGGATGATCAGATAATAGTGATCGCTCACTACAAATATGCTCAGATAACCACTTATTTTTAGCCAGCACAAATTTCAGACATAAAAAAAGACACTGTCTGACGCGGCGTCCACCCAGCTCAACTCAGTGATAGACACAGAATGGCCACATTGCTATCAGTCATCGCTGAAGAGAATCGGTGGAAGACTACCGTTCCTTCTGGAGTACTGTTCGGATAGCCGCCACGTGTTGGTCCGACAGCGTATGTCCCTTTGTCCCAATGGACATAAAAAAATTGGCAACAAAACCATTACGAGTGCAGCTCGCGAACGAAAACACCAAAGCTGCTTCGGTGAGAAGTTGCCTAGACAGTTATCGGAGCAGAACACTTTCATTCACCCAGAAGGAGCTTGGTGCCATCTCCATTCTGCTGTGAGAGCGGCGCCGAAGACCGTGGCCGACTCTGAAATAGCGGCTAAAAAGAGCCAGTGGATATCAGCAACTTCTTCGAAACTGATGGATGCACGTGAACGCATCCCTGCAGGCTCTGAGTACAATGGAGAGCGAGCGCAACTTAAAAGTAGATTGAGAAAAAGTCTACGCAGCGATCGCGAACAGTGGTGGGCAGCGAGGCTAAAGAGATGGAAAAGGCAGCGGCGATCGTAACAGTAGACAGTTATTTAGACTTATTAAGGAGACTGAGGGGAAATGGTCAGCAACAGTTAGTGAGGTGATGCTATAGCGGAGAAGGATGGATCTGCGATTCACTTGCAGGGGAGACGACTGGAAAGATGGGCATAACACTTCAAGGAACAGTTTGACTGGCCTCCACCATTACGTTGCCCGCTATCCAGTTGGATCCTGAATGGAACATTGAGATAGGCCCCCAGCATTAGCAGAAGTCGTTAAAGCAGTAGGTAACCTGAAACGGGGAAGGGAGGCAAGACCAAACGGACTAACTCCAGAGGTATACAAGGATGGTGGTGGAGTGTTCTTAGCCAGGTTAACGGAAGCGTTAAACAGTGTATGGGAATCAAATAGAATCCCGTCTGACTGGTCTAAGTAAGTAAGTAGTCAGTCCTCTTGTGATAATCATATAGGAGTCAAGTTGAAGAATATACTGGCCAAGATCCTAGGTTCTCTAATTCTTCGACGCCTGAGTGGAGCTTGGGAACGGCAAGCCAGAGAAAACCAGGCAGGCAGGCTTTAGACCAGGCCGCTGGTGTGTCGACCAAATATCCACACTGCGCCAGATCCTGGAACATAGGCACGCTTACAGACGCCCGACGATAGCTGTACTTCTCGACCTGAAGGCGGCATTTGTCTCCGTTGACCGAGCAGTCTTATGGCAATGTCTCTCACTGAAAGGTGTACCGAGTAAGTACATCACCTTATTGAAGGCTCTCTACTCGAAAACTTGTGGGCGTGTTAGAGCCTATGGTGAGTTTTCCAGGGAGCTGTGCTCATCCAGTGGTGTCCGTCAAGGGTGCCCACTCTCTCCATTCTTATTCAATTTTGTCATAGATATTCTTATGGAGGCCTCCCTCTCGTCACATGGTTACACAGAGGTTGACCTAATCACAGGAGAATTTTCGTTTGACGTAGAATATGCAGATGACATAGTCCTGTTAGGTGAAGACGCTGACAAAATGCAGTCTTCTGAACACTATGAGTGGCAATTTGTGAATATTTGGGATGCGTTTCCCACCACCCAAATGCAAATTGTTCCTCCAGGATTGGTCTTCAACAGTGCCCCACTGCGGTTAACAACAGAGAGTGTAATGGTTGAGTGTGTCGACCACTTCACTTAACTGGGAAGTAGGGTCGGTCTTGGTGGCTCAGTAGCCGATGAAATCTCTGCAGCGATACAAAAGGCTCGGCTGGCTTTCGCCAACTTACACCACCTGTGGGACCGCCGTGATATCTGATTGTCTATTAATGGTCGCATGTACTGCACGGCAGTCCACTCTGTTCTACTGTATGTCTATAAAAACATGTACATTAAAGTTGGAGGACATAAGAAGGCTGTCTTAAGGTGTTTGACCACCGTTGCCTTGGTAGTATAGAGCGTATTCCGTGGTGTCACCAGGTGAGTAACGCAGACGCCAGGAGTAGAGTTTTAGGGAGTAGAGATAAATCAGTTGACACGGTTATGAACCTTCAGCTACTGAGATGGTTGGGACACATACTACGTATGCCTAGTTGCCGATTGCCACGTTACACAATGTTGGCCGAAATAGGTCCAGGCTGGAAAAAGACCCGAGGGGGCCAGACTAAAACATGGCACCAATGTATGAAGTCTCTGACTGTTGGGTTGAGCCATGGGGGGTGATTCAGACTAGGTGGTTGGGGTCGGCGGGACAAGAGGAACCAGTGGTTGGAGACTCTAGGGGATGTGGCTGAGAACCGATGTCAGTGGAGCAGATGTATCCACACATTATCCTCATCTTAGTGATGCTTTGCCGAATCTCACCATTTCTGATTCTTCCTTTCTCTCTTTTAGTAATTTACATTTCTTTTGACTAAGTTTTCTTTTCTTCACCTTCCACTCCACTGTATTTTTACTTGGTGCACTGATATGAGGTGTGGCAACTCTAACAGCTACGGAGTAATGCCTGTTCCTATGTTGATGATGATGATGATAAGGTCTCGTGCACATAGTTCCTGGTAATTTGTTGGTAGAGTAGCTTCGTTCGTTTTACTCCCAGAATTGTAAGTTAGTCTTTGTTAAATATTAAACATATTAATGTAAACCTGAAGCGGAAATATTTCCTCATTTTCCTGCGTTTGCAGTAGGAATGAGTAACTTGTTGAAATGAAAACTTTCTATGCATTCATTTATCTTCAACGTACCTTCAGTAAGTAGCATGGATATTGTTGTAAAATACTAAAATTGCCAACCTCGTTTAAATATCTTACCCAATTTTGATTTCATTTCATTTTCACATCTATAAATTACAACACGTGAATAGCCAGTTATATATGCAAATGAAAGATTTACACACCGCAATGACAAACATTTAGGTGTGAACAGTGGTCTGCAATTTGGAATTTAAAAAAAGACTGTTTTAGTCCTAATTGTTAGATTTCTCGTGTCATTTAGTTTCTTTCAAGCAGTTATCATTTATTGCCATTACAAAGTTAAGAATTTGACTGAATTACGTTATCGACATGGAAAATGATCTCAAGTCTGCATGAATCACTGGCGATGAATGCTAATAATATTTACTATGATTTCTTTACACAGCAGTTTGCTACTTTTTTCACTTTGAACAATATCCTTTGAACACGTTTTGAAAGGTAATTTTCAGTATCTCAGCAATGTGTAGCCCGATGAATAGCACCTAATATCCTACTAACATAAAAGTGGTCAAAACAATCTTTTTAAATTTTAATTAATGAGCTGCGTTTAAACAGATTTTTAGATATTTTCAAGTGGAAAATCCTGTGAGGTCTCGACAAAACAGGAAGAATGCCAGTGACTTCAAATCTAAAACGCTGAAAAGGTAATTAGGTTTCATATCCTTCAGCAATTCAAACAACACACGTTTTTTATAATTAAGTTGGACTATTTTACCAAGTTTGAGTTATAACAAATTACTTTCATTCAACAGGACTCCACAAACAATTGCTACAATGAATCCGTCAGCAACCCTAACCCGTCCACAGATAAGTCTGCGTATACTAAATGAAAAGAATAAAGAAATCCTATCAGCATTTGCTGGTTCACGAATACGCTTGGATGCGTTGTTACTTAACCCCTCAGGCAAGTGTTGCATGATATATTCTCTTGATTTAATTATCAGCAGCTAAATAGCATCTGTACGAATAGGTCATACATAAGTAATGAACTAGTGATGCAAAATGACTCAACTAAAATTTTATCGGTCCATGCTAACTCAAAAAAATTTATTTATCAACTTCACTTGAGGAAACGCATTCTCAGTAAAAAATTATACAGTTTACTGCTTCATCTTATATAAAAAGCCATTTTTATCAATATTTACATATTTACTAGTATAAGGACCACATAATGTGTGCTATTCACTATGTTGTCCACGATAAGATATCTAAGTTTCATGCTTATTATTAGACAGGGCTGGAACATTCCTATCTATATAAAAAAACAATTTTTATTACTCCAGAGCTTTCAATGAATACAATTACTTTTATAAATCGTTGATACAATTTGACCAAGATTGATGGTAGCCTTAACCAAAATGAAATCTGGTTTTCTAGACTAATCGCGGTGAATGAGCTAAACCTTCTATGAACATACATGTAGTTATATTTTTTCTCAGGCTTGATGGATCGTGGTTTATTTACTGAACAAAGAGAGGTTTTACATCAATAGGGACTATAAAGCGAAGCCCCAAATAATTCTATTTCTAATTTCTCAACAGCATTAGGCTACTTGAAGCACTACTAAGAATTGACTGTTGAATCCTCAAATCAATCAAGCATTTTGTCAGGCTTTTATTCCTGATATCGTCGGTTTGTCTCGTCAAAGAGGCTTTTCCTTCGAGATAGCAGATATTAGTTATTTCGGCCCGATACGTTAGTTTCGATAACATCCATACTTCCTTTTAAAAGAAGACTTTTATCGGGAAGGGATGACCCATTTTCAGTGTACAACTACAGAATTTAGGTTGGTACACTTCTCACTGTAAGATTTAACCTAAGTTGGTCTACTTTCGCTACCACTTTACTTTTTTCCTATTCGTAACTTATTCGACTATGAGAGCAATAAAGTTTTAGGAAATTCTGAAAAGTAAGCTTTCGCATATACGACAAAATTCTGTCTTTTTGACTCTTTTCACATAATGTTAAATTGAAACTTTCAATTTTGTTTAATTATTTTTTTTAAGGAATGTACAAAAAGATATCGGCTGAATATTGCTACGGGAATAACAGATCTATTCATTCTGAGTACTCAAAGAATGAAAAAGGCACTTTACTAATAGACCAAAGGTAGTTTTTAGTATTTTATTCCAACAGTCATCGTGTATTCGTGATATGCTCTGAAATTTGTGTTGTTTAATTAATTTTACTTATTTCCACTGGCAGTTGGAAATGTATAGGAAAACACTGACATACGGACAGAAAGTATAAAAGACAAATAGTAAATGATCAGACACACAAAAAAAGAATTGACGGTTTTGTCAAGATTTTTGTTCATTTCAAAGCCTTGGAAAGTTTCCATCACCTTTTGAGTAAAAATGTTAGTGTTTTAAATTTAATGCTTGTGACAAAGATTGTCAACATAACATACTCGTGCTGTCAGTAATATATGCATATATATATATATATATATATATATATATATATCTTAGGAATAGCTCTGAATGTATACAAACGTTTCCAACATGATTACAGATTCGGTCGACTATATTTCTTTGCTATGTCAAACGACAGAAATATTTCGGGTTTTGGACCACTGTTTGTCATAAAATCAAATTTTTAGCGTTCTTTATCAGCCTGTTGATTTCAACATTATATTTAATCTGTGATTATTATTTCATTATTTGCCCCTTGGGTTCCTAGTGGAATATATTGCTTCAGTAGCATATCACCATTTCACTCTCTTCTCTACAGTCTTCAAAACCTGGCTCCACGATTGCTCAGAAGCTTTCATTCCGAACTCTCACCATCTCCTCCATATCACCCTCAGATGGGACGCCCAACTCACCATTCCCCATGCGGGTTCCACTCAAGGACCTGGTCTGGCCTGGTGCGTGAAGTCCCTGAACGGTCTTCTCAGTGTATCCCCAATCCACCTCCACTCTCTTCTGCATAGTTGTTGGGTGATGGGTTCTTGGTTGGTTGATCTATTGACAGGCCAGAGGTCCTTGTTGCTCATTCTTTCTGGTCATCAGATCTTCAGTCTTGAGTGGCGTAGGTGGCAGCTGTTGATGAATATCTGTAGTTTGTTGTAACTGCTTTTCTTGACGCGCCAAGTCTCTCAACCATCACATGGAAGCACTGACTTACTTGACTGAGTTAGTGTTGAATACCTGGAGTTTTTTGAAATGGTCGACACATTGTTTCCTATGTTCCCCCTCTTCGGTAACTGGCATTCCCTAACTATCATTGGTTGCATCTGCGCTGATCTCTTTACTGTCAGACAGTAACCTGGTTATTTGATATAATGTTGTCAGCGCTCTTTCTCTCTTACCTGCAGCCTGTTCTGCGTCACTTGCAAGTGTGTCGGAGAAGTGTTGTTTGTCATAGAGCGCATTATTCTTCACTTTTTTGTCCAGTCTAGTGTTTTATAGGTTGTATTTAGTTCCTCTTTTCGTTGTTTATCTATACACTGTCACGCACTGGTTCGTCTTATGCTTCACCATCTTCTTCTCACTACTCTATCAGCTTCCATGTGTCCGTCGAGATCCATTCCTTGTCTTGCCTCTTCTTTTTCCTTCCTAACACGGTTATGCTGGTTTGCTTCCACGTCTCTATTAAAGAGTTTCAGTGTTCTTCCACTCGGGTTTCTTCAGAGATGTTGCTCAATGTCTCCCATTTTGTCTTGATGGCTGACTGATGAGAAGATGTCCTTTGTAGTTTCGTGCTTCAGTTTCTGTTCTGGGTGGTTGTTGAACTTGACTTGTGATCTGTCTGTCATCAACTTCTTTGGAGGCTTCCAACTTGATTTGGAAGGTTCCTTCACCAGATTTTGAGTTGTGTTAACCTACATCTTCTCCTCTCCTTGTTATTGTGTCCAGTAGACTGCGTCTCCACTTTCTTCACGTTGAAATGAAATCGATCTCATTTTTAGTGTATCCTGGTGTGGTGTCTGGTGTAATCCATGTCACTTTGTGAATCTCCTTGTACTTGTACACACTGTCGGACTCCAATCACCAAGTCACTAAATGTACAGAGGTCTGCCTAGTGTTCTCCGTTCTCACTCATCATTTCACCGAGTGCTTCTCAACCCATGATGAGTTCCCTTCTTGTGTTGTCCGCTCCCAGTTTGGCATTCATGTCAGCTCACCTATTACGTTTTTGATGTCGCCAGCTGGGTGAGATCTTGTCCATCACTGATTGCAGTTGTCAGTGTATTTTACTCTTCTTCTCCCGGTCTGTATCATTTGTAACATTATATGTTTGTGACTTTCACTCCTTTTGAGCTGAATCTTGCTGTCATGATGCTGATCCTGCAGGAGAAGATTGGTTCCCACTACATGAGAGGGAGCCTTTGATGCTGTTGGGGACATCATGATAGGCAATCCAAAACTCAGTGTGCTCGTGGTTGTCGTTTGTGTGACAATATCGGAGTAAATTATTGACCCTTCAGTTAACAGTTTGGACAGTCCACTTCGATTCCATCTACTTTCGCAGAATCCTAGCTCTTCTGTGCCATACCTTCTCATTGGTTTTGTAATCTGGGCAGCCTTGCTAGCCAGCCAGCCAGTCAGTCGGCTTCAAACATTGTGTGGACATTCCAAGTCCCTATGTTCACTTTTGCTTTCTTCGAGAGAAGCAAAGACATCGGCTGACTGGTTTTCCGAAGGCTGTCACCAACTGGTGTCATTTCGTCTCTCCAATTCCAGTGAGGAATTAGTTTTCTTTTATTTTTTGTATTTTCTTAGTGCTTAGAAGTGTCTTTAGTGGTTAGATTAGTTTTACTGCTTAGGGTTGCTATCCGTATGCCAAACCTTTCCTCTTTATCCAGACTTAGGTCCAGCTAATATCTAGCGAACTAGTTAATCAGTTGAGGTGTTTAAATCTGTGATAAATGTGTTTAATTCTTGGAATTACAGTCTAAGTAAACAATTAGTTTATATTCATAGAATTCTACATGAATCACTAACTTTATGAAATTAAAACATAGCTCACTAATCCGTGTATTATGGAAACAAGTACCGAAATTCTAATGTGAAGTCTTGTTGAACTGAGCAAAAATTAATATTCGAGACAATGTTGACTTTTTTCATTAGAGATTGTAATATGCTAGCTATATCTCAGATAATTCTTCCGGGTAACAAAAAACTACATGATTCAGTTATCATCAGTGTACATGAATTCAGATAATTCCTTTCAGATGAAACACTTTTTACATCAAAATACGCAAAATGGATATGAATAAAGATTGGGATGCGAAAACTAATCAAGGAATCAAGAGAAATCTTGTCCAGCATATACTTTTTCCCAATCAATGCTCTGACTCTTTCAGCTCAGAATGAATACACTAGCCGATTTTTAAATCAAAATTCTCTATAATAAGAAGCAAAAGGAGCACATCATTGATACTATGGATCCTAAAGAATGCAACTTTCCCACTCCAAATACTGCATTTAATTTAGATTTTAGAAGAATCTCCAGGTTGTTGCATTTCTGAACTTTTTTAGACACAGTAATTTACTTTATTTACTGTGTGATAAATGCATAAATGTATTTTTGGTTGATGCAGTCTTTCTGCAGATTGTATCCATCTTATTTTAAGGTGTGCAAATAAAAATGCATTACTAAACGCCAAGTTTTCGAATACTGGTTTGTCAAATGATCATTTGCAGACAGGAATGTTTCCAGCCTTTCGACTGGGCAACATGACATTGGTGTTTTTCACATGTGTATTCAGAATTTGTCAATTGACTACAGACTGTGATCAGGTAGGCTTTGTTTGATTTATTTATTGTAAGTTGTCTGAAACTAGTTACTCCGAAATGAATAACTAGTGTGTCATTAATTTATCTATACTTATGTATTAGGCTCATAACTAAGATCAGTTTTTTATTGTCAGTGATTTTAATAGAACTGTACTCATGCGAATATATCTTTGGTAATTTTCGCAGGAAAATAAAACATCCGAAAATTAAAAAAATTTCAATTGTTTTACATCCATTAAATAGTTTCACGCAATTATGTGAAAATGTTGTTGCATCCTGCATTATATATATATATATATATATATATATATATATATAAATTTCAGTCTTAAAGTATTAAAAGCTTGTATTTCAAAATTTCAATAAGACCAATAGTTTTTCATTCCATAATATAACGCTTACAGTTAAAAGCGTAGCTGAGATGTAGACTAAAAAGTTATGTTAGCCTTCAAATATGCTGTCAGTTTAAATTGACATGTTTTTTCAATGTTTCATGAGCATAACTAAATCTCAGGCCCAGAACTTTTCATAATTCGACAATTCTAATTTACCGCTACTGGAAAATAAGCTTTGGTCCTCAGTGCTCAGCCACTGTTTCGGTAAGAGATTTTTACTGAAATAAAACAAACAGATGTCATGGTTACTAAATTTGAGATGAGATGGGGACGTTGAAGTCACCAATTCTCATTATTCTGGAATGAAATACTAGCAAACAAGTAGAATCTACTAACTTGTGATGACTCATAAGAAACGAATACAAGCATTTAAACTAATCACTAGTCTACAGTAACGCAAATTCAAATCACTTCATGCTTCCATGGACATAACAGCTAATTACTTTGAGTGTAATTTCAACAAACCTGTATATGTTTGAATTTCCTGAGAGTTTTACTGTAATATTTTTATCTTCACAACGTGAACATTTAAATGATGCTGTGGATGGAAGTAATATCCTGCTTTTCAACGTTTATAGGAATACTGGTAGTGCGAAAAATACTTTATTATTAAACCAGATATGACTTTCCAATCCACAGACATTTAACTTGGAATTTGTTCTGACCTAATAAATCCATCACTAGTAAGGTATTTTTATTTTTTGGCATTCCTAGCTCATGCTTCACTACATAAACGGGATTCATTTCTATTCAATACACAAATGTCAATTTCAGCTTTTATTCACCAACCTTTTGTATACGACATCACTTGCCAACAAGCAGTAGTAAGTGCTGATCAATCCACCTAAGCTGTCACTGAAACGTTCACGAAAGATCGTAGCTTAGAGAATGCCGAACCAATAACAAGAAAGTAGTCGGATACTGAAGTGACTTCTATAAATGCATACGCGCAGGTACAATTCCCATTGCACTCTGTTTATGAATACACATATATACCATCGGATGACTGAGCAATAATGGAAATAAAAATACTACTGGCTTTAAAAAAGCAGCCGACATATGAATTCATCATGGAAAGCCTGTTACCAAAAAGCCCAGATGTAATTAAAGTTAGAAATAAGCGTCACCAGCTGTTTTTCATCTGACCAAAACAACTGAAATGAAGCACTTTTCGTGCCATTTGTTAACAAGCATAAATTAACGAATACTATACTCAGTACAGAAATGCTTTTATATGAATAGCAAAGAAATGTTGAAGCGAGAACAAATTAACGTTTGAGAACTTCAAAAATTCAATAAAGCGGTAATGTGCCTCATTAGTGCCGTATTCACGAAGCATCACTGTCATGTTAAATCAATACGTTTGGCGTACTGCTTCCGTATTCGGATACAAAATGAAGTCAAAGTTTTGGTAGCAATAATAATTTGAGAAATTACATTAAAATACTGCAGTTAGTAGAATTAAAGTTTTAATCTAAGTTTTTAGTTGCTTTGAAAATATTGAGAGAAGCGATATACTTCCTCTACCTAAATAGATTTATCAGAAAACAAATTGTGCAGAAATCTTTGTTTCTTCCACATTTGCCGGCTAACTTTACACCTACCTGACCAGTTACGAAGCTAAATGAATTGAGAGACAAATCAGATGGGAAAAAGTTTGTAGGTATTTTTATGACAGATAAATTAATTTTGTAAACAGCCGTTAATTAACCTGCAGGGAATTGTATGTAAACCAACTTATCTGTGTGAATGACGGATGCAGTGAATGAGTTTGTCGACTGCACTAGACACAAATCGTTCTACTGCTGTTAGCAGAAGTATCTATATTCTATGAAAAGTTTTGTGCATGGTAAATATGATGAAGAAATCTCATTCTGTAGGAAATTTTGAGCCAGGTGACTGCACCGAGAAGAAATTAGAATTTCAGGTTAATCAGACTGTCTAGATTTTAGACAAGTCGGTTTGAAGTTTCGCGATGACCATGAAGCCTCAGAAAACTGAAAAAACACCTCTGACCTAGCTCAACACCAGAAAAAAACATACTAAACTTGACCTAAAGCTTTACTGGTACGACTTCCACAATCTAAAAATATTAGCATTACAAGCGTTCACCAGTCTGTGAAGTTAAGTTATTAAAATTTTACGCTGTGCTTCTGATCGTTTAGCCCCAGATTTCTGAATATGTTTGTGAACAAGTATCACTATTTCGAAACTACAATGGACCAAAGGAAGAAAAATTGATGTAACCAAGCAAGTATAAATGTCCACATGTTTGAACAGTCGTGAGACCTCACAGTTTTATTTTGTACAGGGACTAAAGCACAACGCAATTCACAAAAATTTGAATGAGATACTGATTTCTTCATTGAGCATTACAGCCCATTTGACTCCGTGAACCACAGTTTTTATTAAGATCAAATTTTATATTCATATACACACCATCTTCACGTTATCTTCTCTTGAAGTTACGAATAAGCCTTACTAGCAAGCACTGACAACTACGTTACCTGGATGCAGGGTTTTATGCCGATTTTATTCATTCACATGAAATCAGCCAAAATACCCTGTAAACATGATTTCGTTAGCCCGTAAACCAGAATGAGAATTAATTGGCTCAATTTAGTTAGCAACCGGTAGTAAATAACATGAAACTGACGTGAAAGTACTCATCATTCATTTCCGCAGGTGGTCAGCAGTGGCTAAATTAGCTCAACTGTTACTTCACCGAGTGGTGAATGGCGGGGGTTGAGATGCTTGTTATGAAAAAATACTTTGACAACCTTTATAAAGTATTGATAGCTGGTAGGAGCTACACAAGGAAGTGTGAGTTAACTGTTTAACTGTTCACGATGATTAAATACTTGACTTAAGTACTTCACTCAGCTGCACTGGGTGAAAATGATTCTCGAAATAAAAGCCAGGTCAGTTACCCTTGGCTAATCTTAGTTAAATGTTCAACTTGCGAATAGATAAAAATGGAATAGATAGAACATGTATAAACATATATAAATAATTCTTTCCAGTGTAGTTAGTGAGGGGCTTCGTGAAATATACAGGAATAACTTGTAACCATTTAAATCTAAGTATTTTTATACTGATAGTCAAACAAGTTGTCATCCCAAGAAATATAAGTCCTAGTGGTTAATAAATGAAAGGTTTTTCACGCATCTGGTTTCCGAATTAATTTATTTAGATACTGTGGACAACTCTATCGCAGGTAAACGCCTGTGAGGGCTCCTGCTCCTATAAGTTAAATGGCTAATTTGAATGGAGTGCATTTTTCTACCAACGAGTGTCATCAGTAAAGAATTAAAACGTGGATCTAAACATTTTAAGCATGTTTATCGGGCAAACAAGGGGCACTGCTATTTATAAGCGTAAAACTTAGACCCTGTGGTAGAATATAACTCAACATTAAATTGGCTTATTTGATATACAGCTCAAAGTGAAGTTAATATTATTGTATCACAGCATTCTATATCAAATAAACAAACGTAATGTTAAATACTCTAACGTTTCTCAAACAAAGAATTTCTAGAAGTGATCAGCTATATAGCATAACCAAGATGATATCAAAAGCATCACACATCTTGAAACCATAACATTTTGAACTGTTGCTCAAAACTACTGTAGTCGCATCTTTTAAATAGATCATCACAGAATTATTTCAACCTCACTGTAAGTAGCAAAAATCATGGAAGTGTGATTTTTGATTCCCACACTGATTGGTGAATAGTTTCAAATTGAATCAAAAGTACCACTTAATACAATATTCATGTTCTCTCTGCATCTCTAATAAATCAGAATTAGTGGAGTTATGAATAGAAACATAGGTACTGGGTAGATTTTATCCCCACTCTCAATGTTTATACTCTTTGAGTATATGAAGAAATTGTTTACATTTCAATTATGTTTTTATGGTTGTTTGTTGTCAAGGTTACAAGTATATACCTTGTTTCTTTCAAACTACTGAATATATCAACTTCGAGAGATATCAGATGACAGACAGATGTTAAGTGAAGTCGAGAGAAGCAGATACATAGATATTAGATATATTTGTGGTTTTGAGTACTTTGAACAGTTGACACACCTATTAACACAGTCTTTTGAGTAAGTGTTAATGGGGGCTTTTTAAAAAATCTAGTTGATACACAAACAACATTAGAAATTATGAATATTAGTACACAAATATTTTGGATAGTTCCACTCACAAGTTAACTTCATTCTTATTTGATGGACTTCTTTAAAAGGACTGAAATACCAGCTCTACTGATAACAATGATTATTATTTCTCACACAAGTTGACTAAATAGTTGGATTTTAGACAGAATCTTCCGTTCGACTCCAGATGATGTCTTACATCATAGATTTGAAAATTAAAATGACCCGAAAAAGGTCAAGTTTTCGTCGAAAGATGTAGGTTTATACACGTGTTCACACAAACAATACTTAATTTTAAATGTAGTGAATCTTTGAAAAAGTATTATGGTGACTAGACCAATAATATCATGTTTAGAAGTTGTGCGAAATAAACTAAAAAGGAGTGAAACTCTATGCATATGATGACCGGTTTCGCTTCCTGCGAAATAAGCAGGACTCGGATCGCTT